CCAGCGCTCGCGGTCCCGGGGGTCGCCCCTTGCGCCGCCGCCGCCGCCGCCGCCGTATTCGTCGTCGCTGCCGCCGCGTACGCGTTTCTCCGAAAGCCGCTGCCCGCCACTGCCGCCGCCGCCGCCGCCGCCGTCAAAGCCGTCCGCGCCGCCGCCGCCCTCCTCGTCCGCCCGCGGCCGCTTGCCGCCGCCCCCGGGCGCGGGCGCGTCAGCTGTATGCGGGGCCGCGGCAGCTGCTGCTGAAAAGGCGGCGGCTGCGCTGGGGCTGGCGACGAGTTGCGCGGCGGTAGCGCCTGGGTGGGCACCTGGGCGGTCGTGTTCCGGGGGATGGGTGTGCTTGTCTTGTTGTTGGAGAGGGGTCTGATGCGGGGTGGGGACAGGCGAGAGCGGCAAAAAGGGAGAGGAGGAGGCACACACGCGCCATGCAGGCAGGGCAGGCTTGTGCGCAGGCGTTTGTGCGGCAGGCAGCCGTGCACGACACATGTCCCCCCTCATGCCAGCACCCACACGCACCGGGCACGACCGTCGGCGCCCGCCGCGCGACGGAGGCCGCCGCTGCGGACGCCACGCGGGGTGGGGCGGAGGCGGCCGCCGGCGCCACGGCTCCCGGCGCGCGCGGCGGGGACGCCGGTGTCTGCGGGACGCTCCAAGGCGACGGGCCACCCCCGACGCGCGACGCCGCGCCGCCGGCGCCGCCGGACCCCCCGGGGTCGCTCGGCTGCTGCTGCGGACGCGTGCCCGCGCCTGCGGCCGGCCCCGCGCCCCCGCTCGCGCCGTCGGCGGCCGCGTCCAGCCGGCCGGCCCCCAGGCTGCCCGCCGCCGCCAGCGCCTCAGCCGTCTCCCCATCCCCCGCCTCGCTCCCAAACCCGCCCCCGTAAAACGCAGCGTAACCGGCCCCGTGGCTGGCGGTGTAACCGGCGGCGTCACCGGCCGCGTGGGCGGCCGCGTCGCCCTCAGCGGCCAGCTGTTCCAGGGAGCGGCGCAACATGTCGTAATCGGGGGTGTCCGCAAAGGACAGGCTCTGAAGGTGCTCGTGGATTACGGTTAGGGGCTCTGTGTGTGTGTGAACGTGTGTGTGTGTGTGTGTGTGTGTGTGTGTGTGTGTGTGTGTGTGTGT